GCAGCGGTGCCCGTTGGGCACTCGCCATGGTCCCTGGAGGCTGCCGCCCATATTGCTTACACCGCGGGCTTCTCTGTGGTGGTGGGAGGGTGGCTGGGAAGCAGGCCCCCAAGGCTTGCTGGGGTTTTCCATCACGGCACCTTGACATGAGGTCCATAAATGTCAATGGGGAAAAGGGAGCGAATCAGTGCAACGGTTCATGAGGACGAGATCGCTCTGACGACTCTGCCTGCCCTGGACCATTGCTGTGACAGTCTGGAGCCATGTGGGTTACTCCATGGCTATGTGTGATGGCTCAAACCCGCCTTGCAATGACAGAGCATGTAACGTTGGACTTGGCAGTACCGTGGTATTAGACCAAAGTAGCCATGGGCTTTGTGCCCGGCACAAATATGCAAGAAGGAGAGGCTGTTCTTTGCTCCAGCACTCAGTAAATGAGACAGGGAATTTACTCTCCATTTGCAGACTCTGAAGATGCTGTCTTTGGGCCAAGGAAACAATATTTGCATGCTTTTCACTAAAAATGTTTTTTAATATTGTGTAAAAACCTAAATGGGTTTTTGCCTCCCCATGTGGGCTCAGCTCCTGTCCTTGCTGGTGGAAACATTTCACTTCTGTTGAAATGTCTCTCACTGCAGTTGCACTTCAGTACCAATGCAATCTTTGTGTGGGATGCGGGTCACGCACATACAGTCTGAATGGAGTCCAGGTAGATGCCTGATTCCAGTTAGTTTTCACTCCAAGGGAAGTTGGATCTCTAAACTGCCCAGAGCTGCATTAGTGTAACCACCAGTTGAACACTGGACTTTTCCACTGGGTAGTCTGCTTTTTCCCGAGTTTTTTGTTTGCGGTGTTCTTTCTGCTGCTCAGGGGACAGCCTAATGTGATGCGTTCTACACTAGCCGTCTCCATGAATGAGATCTCTGAGCTCTGCACCACTGTGAGGGTTGAGAACTCAGCTGTGAAGCTCTCTGCTCACCTTTTTTTTACAGGACAGAAAGTAATCGTGAAAGAAACCAGTGGGAAGGTGTTCCTGCAATGTGTAACAGGCAGCCAAAGTCAAGTCGTATGGCTGAAAGACGGGAATAGGATAGAAAACGTAGAACAGCTGGATTTGGGTTCAGTTTACAATGATCCCAGAGGCATCTATACATGTGAAACAGGAAGTGGAAAGAAAAGCCTCCAGGTGCACTATCGAAGTAAGTGTTGCAAACCTGGTTTTTAGAGCCAGAACTGCTTGGAGTTTTCGCCCAAGCAAATTTTTGAGGGAACTCCTGATTTCCCAGAGTTTGAGGGTGGTTCCACCAGTTTGCGGAAGTCCTGACAGCTCCTGTGCTAGGTTGCCTTTGGGAACAGCCAAGCTGCACGTTCCCCTGCATGTGGTGTCCCCGTGAGAGCTCCACAGCCTCATTTAGTGCCATAAGCTGGCACTCATACTGCCTCATTGCTAGCTGCTTGCTGGCTTGCAGCTGTGGCCTGCCCTGAGTGCTAGGGACACGTGTCAGCTTACGCCACTGCCTTGGGTCATGCAGCAAGCCAAACTTAATCCCTGGTCTCCCGCCCTGGGACTGGAGCCTGCCTGGTCTGGCAGAGCCGACTGAGTGCTTTCAGCTCAGACTGACCCCGGCGGCAGGGCGAGGGCGGCCAAGGGGCAGGGTCCTGGTCATGGCCCTGCTTTCAGTGTTTGTGTCCTTTTGGGCTTTCAGTGTGCCAGAACTGCATCGAAGTGGACGCTCCCACCATCTCGGGGATCGTGGTCGCAGATGTTGTCGCCACTGTCCTCCTGGCAGTTGCTGTGTATTGCATCACTGGCCAGGACAAGGGACGCATGTCACGAGGTGAGGGGAGAGCCCTGCCGGCTGCCCGCGAGTGGGGACGGGAAGTGCCTGGGCATCTTTAGGAGCTGCGTGGTACCTAGGGACTTCCCATCACTGCACACAGAGCCCAGTCACTGCAAGCTGCAGGCAGCAGCCAGCACACAGTGTGTCTAGGGTAAGGATCCATGTGAGCACTCTGTGTACCCTTCCTGCCCCTAGCTCAGCTTCCCAGGAGAAGCCATCAAATGCACAAGGTTCACAAAAACATCATCCCAGGGACAGCAGCTGGTGGCACAGGAACATCTGAGGCCTTGCAGCCTCGGCTTTCCACTGAGCCTCCCAGAGGAAGTAAAAGCACAGGGCTGAAAGCAGAGGGCTGCTTGGGTTTGTTTGCAAGTGTTCACCACACTGCCCGTGACTCCTTTGATGCTTGACCACCTTCTTTCTTCATTTAGCTTCTGACAGGCAGAACCTGATTGCCAACGAGCAGCTCTACCAGGTGAGTGAGGGCGTGCACGTGTGTGTGTGTGCGCGCGCACATGGGCTTTAGCACCTCTGCGTGATGTGGGGCTGCGTGGTGGGATCAGCGTGGCCATGACAGCTGCTGGGGGATACTCGATGCCATGAGGCACTGAGCTGCATTGGAGATTGCTTTCTGCTAGGGCATTTGCAGCTGCCTCCCCTTGAGTGACCCAGAGGATGGGGCAAGCTCAGCTACCCCCTGCCTCTTACTCTCTGGGGTTGTTAAGCTCTGTGTGCAGGGAGGGAAAGCTTGCCAAAAGCTTAGCAAAGGGAGGTCTGGGCCAGCTTCCCCTGTACCCTCTCTCCCAAGGCTGGACAGACACAGTCATAGCTCATCTTGCCTTTTTTCCTTCTAGCCCCTTGGCGAGCGGGACGATGGTCAGTACAGCCGGCTGGCACCTGCCAAGGCCCGCAAGTGAAGTGGGAAGATGCTGGGGCCTGCGACTCCTTCACACCGGGAGTGGTATTACAGCAAAGCTACCGCCAGTGCCCAAGAGCACTGGTACCTTGCCCTGGCACTGCATTCGTAAGCTTACTGCTGGCAGAAGAGTTTTTGCTTAGAGAGCCCTCCGGCTCCTTGCCAGGGTGGGCTGCTTGTAGCGCTCTGCTCTTTCCATGACCTTTTGCACTTCTGTATTCCTCTCATTAAAGATGAGCCTATCCCATAGCCTCCCTGTTCCATCGGTTGTGTTGAGGCCTGGGGAGCCATGCAGTCACTGGGGAAGGTGAGCACTGGATGCGATCTGCCTGGATCCCTGCAGACCCGTAAGGCTCCTGCCTGTCTCGCTAGGACACTGCTCTGCCAGTGCAGGCAGGTGCCCATGGCTGTGCCACCTCTCTGTGCCAGGATCTAAATGAGATCTGGGTCCATTGCTGAAGCTGAGGATGGGGGACCTTGTGAAGGGAGAGGGTTGCTGCCCCTGAGAGTAGCAGAGGCTTTGTCTCATTTAACTCCCCTTCCAGAATGGGGAGCAGGTACACCAGGAGCACAGCGACACTCAGCAGGGTCTGTGTCACGCCTGCAAAGTGCCTGCATGCCTCAGTCCCCTGACAGAGCTGGGGGGCTGGCAGGAGGGAGTACAGGAGCACGTTTCTTCTGCACATGCAGGGCTTGGCATCTAATCGCAGTCTCCAAATTGCAGGGGCTTGCCAGGTCGCTGGCGCCCAGCCAGCCTGCAAGTTGCCTCAGTGCTTAGGGGAGTGAAGCACGAGCAAACGAGCTGTGCTGGCTCCCCAGCTCATGGAGGCTGGGCCCAAAGAGGAAATGGAAACAGCAGAGGGGACAAAAACTGCAGCAGAGGTTGTGCAAAACACGTGGCAGCAGAGCTGGCCAGGCAGCGAAGGCCAGAGGCAGTCCACATTCCCCGCACCTCTGATGTTCTTGGGAGGCTCTCCCACCCTCCTCTGCCTCTGCAGCCCACCTTTGTGATCAGGCCAGGGATCTTTCGTGGGGCATTCGGCAACCCCTCTTTCAGGCTCACTTCCCATCCCAGTGTGCTGAGTACAGGATGCAGATGAGCAAACTTTCAGAGCCTTTCCCAGCTCAACGACCTTTCCAGACACTGAGCAGCACTGGGTCTCCCCACACCAACCCAGCTCCTCCTGGCAAGGTCCCTGCTCCCCAGCTCTCAGCAGAAACAGCTAATGTGGTCTGACTACAGCCAAAATGGGAGGCAGATAACAGACAGGATCTCCTAGCAGTTAGAAACCTCAGAAACCAGGTCACCCTCCATGTGCCAGTTGCACACACCTGTAGGTTGTGTTTTCCTGCTTTTCTAAGAATCTGGGTGATGGGCTTTAGAGAGTACCAGGCTGTAAATTGCCTTGTGACTCAGTGGTATTAAATAAGCACCAAAAGAGTTAACACTCAATAAAAACTGGCCACAAATCTGTGACATGTCTGACACAGCAAACAACACATAGGCTGTGCAAAGCTGTGGGTGCACCCCATGTGCCCTTACAGGAATCAGTGTGTGACCAGCCTTGCGGACAATGAAAAAGAAAGGGACCTGTTTTCCTATGGTGTGGGCTCTACGCGACAACACGTTGCTCTTCAGAGGAGCAGAATAACGTCTTAGTGGTTTTTCTGCTCTAACCTGCTCCAGTGAAGGGTGAGCCTGATATGGCCATTGCAGGTAGAGTATGTCAATACCCGCCTTTGGTCTGCAAAGCCATCTGGGTAGGACCTTATAAAAAAAGCAGACTGCCTACTTCATAGCGCTTTCATCACCATCACATCTCAAAGCAATGAGCAAAAGTGGCTTACCACACCCAAAGAGCAGGAGAAACCCGGAGCAGAGTGGGTGGGTATGCTCTGCACAAATTAAAGACACAGAAGGGGCAACATTTACAACTCGGCTATTTGTGAGAGGCCCCTCAGCACCTCACTCTTGGGAGGACGAAGAACTATTTCTATAGTGCAGCTAGGCACAGAGGCAGAGATGTCACTGGATGGGCGCTGATCACACTGAGATAAGGAGAGTGTGGGATGGCACTGGTTGGGGCAAACACTAGGCAAACATGCAGCCCCATAAATGGTGGCAGAAGCACTGGGGTGTAGCTTGAAGCAACATTTAGACCTTGTACACCCAGAGAGGTCCGAGTTTCTCGCAGCCCATTCGTGGCAATGGGCTGTATGGCTGGGCTGAGCAAGCGTCCCTGGAGCAGTGATGTTTTGCAGAAGCTGAGAACATGGCCCAGCGTGGTTTTAGAGCTGCTGGGGGTTACTGCTCTTTGTATCTTGCAATCTCCCTCCTAGATGTTTAGCACCTTGTATGGTAAACCCAGCTGTGCTGCCTTTAAAACCACATCCTGCAGGGTAAGCACAGCAATCCGAAGCATGAAACTTGCTGGGAGTTCATCTCCCCATGCTGAAACTCAAGGGTTGAACCACCCCCAGCCCCCATCACTGCTGCTGTTTCCTTTTTTCGGAGCTGTTACTCTGCAGAGCAACAAAAATGTGGCTCGCTCAGCCAGTGTTAGACCAGAAACGTTCCCAGGCATCACAACATCTCTTGGGCCCTTCTCCTTAAGTTGCTACCTGCCCCATTGCTGCTGCTTTGGAAACTGCAGTTTTTAAAATCAGGCAGATTTAAAATCTGAATGTTGAGTGCATGGGACCTCGGCTATTTCACTTGCCCCCAGCCAGCAGCCCCAGACCCACTCCCCAGCTCCGCTGGACCCCTGCCCTTCTCTCAGGCCTCGCTCTCCTAGGCATGGCAGTGCATCTTTGTATGTGTAGTTGTCGCCCCCCATCGTGGCACAGTCTGCTCCCAAACCCCTTGTAGGCTGCTGCAAGGTGAGTCAACACAGACCCACAGAAGCCCTCACTGTCTCGGACTACTCCTGACCTGAGAACTCGCCTTAACAAAAACCGTTCTTCTTTAACAGAGACAAAAACACAGGGGAAATCTTTTCCAATGCATACTGGGGGGTGCTGTCTCCCATTTTATTAATATATTACAGTTTTTAAATGTATATACAAAAGTTAAAATGGATCTTTACCAACGGCAAAGCAGCCCGCCATCTTTCTAACAGAACCCAGGCAGAACTCAAGTTACAGAGCTGAAATGGGGAGAAAAAGGGCAGCAGGAAAGGACAGATCACAAGAATCTCGAAGAGCAATAGCTCTGGAAAATGAAACTTGGCCAGCAAATGTATTTGTACACCCCTTAGGGTACAACACACTCAAAGAAATGTGTTTATCCCAGACTACTACTATAGAATACCAGTACAAATGGAGTCCATGAAGTCCCTGGGATGAGAAAGACAGCCTAGCAAAAGGGTTTGATGCTGTCTTGGATCTTGTAGGTCCTGGGCTTTATCTCTGTGGCCCCAATGCATTCATTTCAATTCCAGTGAACAAGCTGTTTCAGAGCAGAGTGCTAGCCCTGGGCTTGAGCCAAAGGGTCTCAGTTCCAATCTGGGAAACACGAAAATCCCTGTTGTGCTGTCTCAGTCAGACTGCAAAGCTGATACTCATTGCTAAGTGGGGGTTCAAATCTTAGCTGAAATGTCTAAGAGGCCCACTATTTAATAGTAACAAAGATCTAACACTCAGCCAAGCACTTAAATTTCCTAACAGGAGGCTTTCAGGTGGCTTGGGAAGGTGCCAAATCCCCATGTGACCCTATGAGGATGTTCTGCCAAAGGGCTGAAACATAAAGGTCTCCGGATGCAAAGTGGTACACAGCCCCACTCATTTCCTACAGAAGAAGGGCTGGGGGATGGACAGGTCAGTCTGCACGTACTGGTAGAAGTGCTTCTCCATTTTTTAAAGGAAAACTGTTCTTTTTGACTGAAATATTTTCATGCAAAGCAGTGGTTTTTCTCTGAAAATGTACTGTTTTGTTTTTCATATACTGACTGCCTCTGTTCCTTTTGTTACAATCCTGGGCAGCAAAACTAAGATAGGCTATGAACATGAGAGCAGGACAAGGTCAGAGGCCAGTCACTCTGAGAAGGACCCACTCTTTGCCCACTAGCTACCCTGGGAGGCACGGGGAGCAAGTGGAAGCACTCAGGGCGGAAATGGGAGGGAAAACCAGAGCATGCAACTGGAGCAGAGAGAGAGGGGTCTGAGGGAAAAGGAGGCCAGGAACCACGAGTGAGGCTGCAGTCCTTTAATGAGAAGGAAAACTTCTCTTGCCAATGTACTCATTTGATTCTTTTTCCTAATGTCAAACCGAAGGCCGAAAGAACACATCAGGGTGGGACAGCGGATGGCAGTAGGGTGCCTGTCCTGTGTAGCCGCCTGCCTTACCCCAAAATGCCTGGGCCTCAGCAGGCCTGCACAGAACCGGTACCGAGCTGGGCAGAAGCGCTTAGCCCCTCTGCCACTGTTTTCCAGCTTGTCATCTGTGGGAATTTCAGAAGCCCCTGGATTCCAGGCCTGCATACACTTCCCGCTGGCCTTTCCGGATGGGCTGTGGGAACAGCAGAGATGTTAGTTCGGGAATCCTTGTTAACACACCCTCAAACAACGCCAGGATCTTGGTCCACACAATACGTGGAGAAAACTACAACAGAGAGCAGGTGTAGTGCTGCTCTGGTAGTGTGCACAAGAAGCTGCAGTTCTGCTCCCGACTCCCCGTGTCAGCACCCGGAGAAGGGGCTCCACCCTCACCACCTTTTTCCTCCGCTCCAAGGAAAGCTTGGAGATTGACTGGATGCTTCTTCAAAGGAGCAAAAAGGATAACTGCTACAGATTCCCAGCTCTGGCTATCCCTCCCGAACCAGCAAAGAGAGATGGAAAAAATGCAGGTTCTCCATACCTCATAGTCCGGGTTTGGAACGGGGGGAGGACGCTGCATCTTCTGACCTGCAACAGAGGCAAAGAGAAGTCATCCTTGGTGATGATTCATGTAACACAGCACGAGGGACTTTCATGGAAATGATCCCAGGATAATGCATACCATGG